CTCATCAACAAAAGGAAGCAACTCACATGCCGCAGTCCCTTCCAGCAGGCTCTCCTGCCAAGCTGGTGACCGGATGACAGGACGATTCGCCATCACATAACTGCTGAAGGGGTCCTGTGGCAGGCAGAGCAACAACCCCCCAAAGTGGCCAATGTCCTAATCCTCGGGACATACTAAGGTTTCCAGTCAACAGTCCAATGTGGGGAGAATGGTGTTCACACCACCACACAGTTCTCCAGACACCCAGCTCTCTGTCCTACCATTCAACTCCATTCTGGCAAGGTCTCCCCAGAGGTAGCATCAGACCCCACAGGTCAAGTGCATGATGGCCAACCCCCACCCTTCAGACACCAGTTGCAAGCCCAGCTTGTCCCCTGTGCTTCTGGCTGACCAGGTATAGATTGGAGGGTCCCACCACCCCTTCCTTGGGTTCAGTTAATTCGCTACAGCGGCTCTCGGATCACAGAGAAGCATTTTCCTTACTAGAATGCCGGTTTATTATGAAAGGCTAGAACTCAGGAATAGTCAGGTGGAAGAGATGCAGAGGGTAAATCCTTGTGGAAAGGAGCACAGAGCTTCCGTGCCCTCCAGGCGCACCACTCTCCCCAAACCCCCATGCGCTCACCAGCAGGAAGCTCTCAGAACCCTGTCTTTTGGGGTTTTTATGGAGGGTTCATTACCCAGGCATGATTGATTAAGTCATTGGCCCTGGTGATGGATTCGACCTCCAGGCCCTCTCCCCTCCCTGGTGTGTGGGGGGGCCTCCAATCACAGGGTTGGGGCCCTGGCAACCAGCCTCCATCCTTAGGTTACCTGGTAGCCTTCCTGGCCACCTCATTAGCATAACCAAAGACACCCTTAGGGCTCTTATCACAGGAAATTCCATGGGTTTTATTTTTTTATTTTTTATTTTTTAAAGATTTTATTTATTTATTTGACAGAGAGAGAGACAGCGAGAGAGGGAACACAAGCAGGGGGAGTGGGAGAGGGAGAAGCAGGCAGCCCGATGCGGGGCTCGATCCCAGGATCCCGGGATCATGACCTGAGCCGAAGGCAGATGCTTAACGACTGAGCCACCCAGGCGCCCCTAAAATATTTTAATAAAACTGAAAAGTTGAAACTGATAATAAGTATAGAATTTTACACCCAGGAAACAGAAACCACACAATCTTTTCTTTTTTTTTTTTTAAAGATTTTATTTATTTATTTGACAGAGAGAGACAGCGAGAGAGGGAACATAAGCAGGGGGAATGGGAGAGGGAGAAGCAGGCTTCTTGCCAAGCAGGGAGCCGGACGTGGGGCTCGATCCCAGGACCCCGGGATCATGACCTGAGCCGAAGGCAGACGCTTAACGACTGAGCCACCCAGGCGCCCCAATTCCATGGGTTTTAGGAGCTCTGTGCCAGGAAGAGGACAAAGACCAAATATATATTTCTTATTATAAACCACAATATCACACCATGGGTATGTTTGGTCACATGACAAGCGGAAATCGAGTTGCTTATCAGCTGATAAAACAGACGATGGGGGGGCCTAACGTAGTCGCAGGGGCCCTGGAGAGTGGGAAAGGTGTGGCTGAGAAGTGCAGTGCAGGCCCCTCTGGAAGCTGGAAAGACAAGGACTCGGGTCTCCCCTGGAACCTCCCGACACCTCGATTTTCGCCCAGCGAGACCCATGTCAGACTTCAGAACGACAGACGTGTTGCTTGTGTTGTTGAAACACTAAAAAGAGGAAATATGTTACTGCAGCTCTGAGCGCAGCCCGGAGACCTGGGTCACGGGAATCCAAACACCCAGGCCAGAGGTCCCAAGGGTGTGACATACGGCACTCAAAGCACCTGCCACATTTTAGAGAGCAGCTGTGTTTCTCTGTGCAGAGTTCATGGGTGCGTTCCTATGACCTTGTAGAGGATTATTTCCCCATTTGACAGATGGAAAAGGCAAACCTCAAGGACATCACATGACTTGCTTCTGATTATAAGAGACTGAGGGGGCGCCTGGGTGGCTCAGTTGTTAAGCGTCTGCCTTCGGCTCAGGTCATGGTCCCAGGGTGCTGGGATCGAGTCCCGCATCGGGCTCCCTGCTCCGCAGGAAGCCTGCTTCTCCCTCTCCCACTGCCCCCTGCTTGTGTTCCCTCTCGCGGTGTCGCTCTATGTCAAATAAATAAAATCTTTTTTAAAAAAATAATAAAAAATAAAATGAGGTAACGGGTCTGTGACTCTAAATACTTGGTTCTTTTCCTACAGAGAAGAAGGCTGTCAAAGTCATTTTAAAGGGATTTTTTTTTTTTTATTTTAGGAGAAACATAAATTAAAACATTAAATTTTGAAAGAAAGTGGTAATTCCTCTAAATCGTTCCCAGCTGTGGGAGGAAGTGAGTGCTTAGCGGCAACCACACGGAAACAGAGCTACAAGTCATTAAGGTGATCGGAAGACGCGGGTATGGATGAATAGAGAGGTTCACGGGCAGAATCGGGGCTGCAGCATGAGGACCAATTTCCTAGTAACCCCTGGAAAATCTGTGGGCTGGAACAGGGCTGGCACCCACTTTCCCAAGCAAAGGCCCACCCTAAGTCTTTCAAAGATGCCTTTAAGGGTCTGCTGGGGCTTCGTTAAGCTGTGAATACTCACAGTCTCATTTAATCCTCATGGAAACCCTAAGAGCTAGGCAATGCTACTCACAGTGCAGGTGAAGCCTTGGAGCTCAGAGATGAAGACCTGGCAATGTGTCCAAGGTCATGCCATCTCTGCTCAGTCACGGACAAGCCTGTGTTTGAATCTAGACCATAGAACCTCAAAGTCATGAGCTTCCATTCTATTGCTTGGTCTGGAGTAGTATCCTATACTATACAAAGAACTCATGTAACTCAACAACAAGAAGACAATAAAGCATTTAAAAAGTGGGCAAATGGGGCGCCTGGGTGGTGCAGTAAGTTAAGCGCCCGACTCTTGATTGGTTTTGGCTCAGGTCGTGATCTCAGGGTCGTGGGAGCCCCAGGTGGGGATCTCAGTTCATTGTCCGGTCCGCTTAAGACTGTCTCCCTCTGGGGCACCCAGGTGGCTCAGGCCGTTAAGCATCTGCCTTGGGCTCAAGTGATGATCCCAGGGTCCTGAGATCGAGTCGGGCTCCCTCCTCAGCAGAGAGTCTGCTTCTCCCTCTCCCTCTCCCCCTCCCCCCCATTGGTGCTCTCTCTCAAATAAATAAATGAAATCTTAAAAAATTAAATTTCAAAAAAAAGACTGTCTCCCTCTCCCTGTGCCCCTCCCCCCTTCTGCACACGTGCACACTCTCTCAAATAAATCTTTTAAAAAATTAATTAATTTAAAAAATTTTTAAAAAGTGGGCAGACAATCTGATAGACATTTCTCCAAAGATACACAAATAGCCAAAAAAACACATGAAGACCCTCAACCTCTTCAGCCATCAGGAAATGCAAGTCAAGGCCATAAGGATACCAGTCAAACCCGCTCAGAGGGCTGTAACTAAAGAAACAGGCAATAGTAAGTGTCCAGAATACAGAGAAATGGAAACCTTCACATTGCTGGTAGGAATGTAAATGTTGCAGCCCCTTTAACAGTTTGGGAGTTTCTCAAAAAGTTAAACAAAGAATTCCATATGACCCAGCAATTCCACTCCTAGTTGTCTACTCAAGATAAATTAAAACCTATGTCCACACAAAGACTTGTTCACAACAACACTACTCATAAGAGCCAAAAGTGGAAACAACCCCAACGTTCATCAGCTGATGGATGAATGGATAAATCAGATATTGTATATACACACAACGCAGCATCATCTGGTAACATAGAAGAACTGATAAATGCTACAACGTGGATGAATGTCAAAAACATGATGCTGGGGCACCTGGGCGGCTCAGTCAGTTAAGCATCTGACTTCAGCTCAGGTCATGATCCCGGGGTCCTGGAATCCAGCCCTGGGTGGGGCTCCCTGCTCCAAGGGGAGTCTGCCTCTCCCCTCTGCTCGGTGCTGTCATTTCTTCTCTCTCCCAAATGAATAAAATCTTAAAAACAAACAAACATGATGCTAAGGAAAAGAAGCCAGACACAAAAGGCCACAGACCCAATGGTTCACTTATGTGAAAAGTCTAGAATAGACAAAGTTGTAGAGACAGAAAGTAGATTGGGCTGCAGGTGACGGGGTAATTGTTAATGAGCACAAGGTTTCCTTTTGGGGTGGTGGAAATGTTCCAGAATTAGACTGTAATGGCTGAACCGTAAGTATACTAAATACCTTTGAACTGTACACTTAAAAAAGGTGAATTTTATGGTGCGTAAATTATATCTCAGTACAGCCCTTCTAAGAAAAAGCCAGGATACATTTCCAAGAACGGCCGTAAGCAAGCTTTCCTTCGCCACCCCATCCCACACAGCACAGCTCACGCAGATGAAGCTGACGGGGGCCGGGATCGACCCGTCCCCAAGGCTCATGTGTGAGGACTTAGCACTTAGTACGTGAGCCTCCGCAGCGCGTTTAGATTTTTTAAGCTAAAAAAATCTGCAATGGCTTCGCAACGGGAGGGGCACTGCAGCGGCCTCTTTCAAGGTAAGGTGCCCCCAGTTCTGCAGAGATTGAGTCTCTGCTGTCCACTCCCACCCACCATCCCCACCAAAACTTTTGCAGACGCACCTGACGCGAGCAAGCGACTGCCCCGGGGACAACCGCGCGCCCCGCCACCGCGGAGTGGAGATGGGGGTGCGGCTTCCACCGCGGCCTCCCAGCGGCCCGGTCTCGCCACCCCTCGCCCCGCAGCCCGGGGACCGGAACCGCCGCGCCCTACCTGCCCCGGGCCAGGCGAGCCCTCCAGCCGCCCGCGTGCCGAGCCTCCGCGCCCGGGCCGTGCGCTCCGCCTCCTCGAGGCCGGCGGGCGGGCGGGGCGGAGCCGGAAGGCAGGGGGGCGGCACGGGCGCCCGGGAGCGCCCCCTCTCCGCCGCCCCCGCGCCCGGCCCGGCTGCCTGCGGCGAGCGCAGCGCGCGGACGCGGCGCGCCAGGCTCGCGGCGAAGCACAGGGGCGCCCGGCGAGGGTGCGGGAGTCTGCGCGACCGCGGGGAGCCCGGGTCGGCACGTGCAGCGGCGGCTCGTCTCCGCCCCCCGCCCCCGCCCCCGCGCCCGGGGCGGAGGCGCCGACCCCGGCGGATCCGGGCGGAGGCGCCAGCCGCCGAGGGAGGGGCGCGCCCAGGGTCGGTCCGCGGCCCGGCGCGGCGCCGTCCCGTGTCTCCCCGGCGAGGGTGGGCAGGGCTGTCCGGCTTCGGGGCAAGAGCAGGGCCGCCCCGCGCCCGCCGCCCCGCGGAGCCCGGCCCCGGGCCCCACCCCGCCGGGCTGCGCGCCGGCCGGCCGGGGACGCGAAGCAGCCCCGGGGAATGAGGCGGCCGCGGCCCCTGGCGCCCCTCCGCGTGTGCGCCGCGCCCCTCGCCCGCCTGCCCCGCGGCCCGCCCCCATGGCGGCCCGCTGGTTCAAGGAGTTCCCGCTGAACCTGAAGACGGCGTCCGAGCGCGCCCGGCCCGGTGGCGGCGGCGGCCGACTGCGCAAGAACTCGGAGGCGGGCGGCGCGGGGCCGGCCCCGGGCAAGGGCCGCAAGAGCTCGGCGGCCGAGCTGGGGAGCGGCAGGGCCGGCGTCGGCGCCGCCAGGGACAGCCGGCCGCCCCGCGACAGCCTGCAGGGCCTGATCCAGGCGGCCGCGGGCAAGGGCCGCAAGAACTCGCGGGCCGCCGAGGACGAGCCGCACCGGGGCGTGGCCAGGAGCGCGGGCTGCCGCACCTACATCAGCAGGCTCATCAAGGTGGACACTCAGGAGAAGAACGGCAAGACCAGCTCCAGCGCCAGCAGCACGAGCAGCTCCTCGTCCGCGTCCTCCGCGTCCTCCTCGCCCGCCTCGCTGGGCCCCGAACTGGACAAGGGCAAGGCGGTGAAGCAGCCAGACACGGTAAGAACGCGGCCTCGCCGGGGCCGCGTGCCCCAAGCGGGACGGAGACGGGGGCAGAGTGCACCTGCTCAGCCCTAGGCCGCTTTATGCGTCAGGGAAGGTGAGGGTGCGCGTCCTGCAACGTCTGGCGACACTTAAGGGACCCTTTCACGTCGTTACATTTGGTCTTGGTTTTCATCTTGAAAAATCCTCCTTCTAGGGATGGGGCACTTTTTGGAAAGGTACTATGCATTTAATTCTGTTAGCCGTTCAGAAGAGTAATTGAATGAGTCGTTCCTGCTTTGTTAAATTTGACCTCCTTATAAATGCGGTTTATTTTAATTTTGAAATCCAGGGGGATTGCCAAGCCAGATCTGTGTATACATTTACGCTTCTTGAGCAGAAGGAAAAGTATGGATTTCAGAGCCTCAGGGACCGGCTGGGACCCAGCCCCTCCTCTGCTAGGGTGGGAGTTCAAGCGCCACTGCCCGGGCAGGTGCCCCCTCACGGCTGTCCCAGCCCCTCCCATCCGATCCGTGAACGTCTGTTGGGCAGTAGCCCAAGGAGAAGCCGCCCAGGGCTCCAAGGGCTGCAGAGGGTACGGAATGGGACAAGGAAGTGCCCTTGAGGAAGCCACAGATCAGGAGAGAAGGTGTTTCCTGCCTCTTACACCCCAGAGGTTTTCTGGGTGCCGTCCAGTGCGAGGCAGTTAAGAAAAGGAGTGTGACCCTGTGAGGAGACCCACTCCATCCTTACAGAGATAAGCTGGGTTTTGTTTGCTTGGTTTATTTTATTTTTTAAAGATTTTACTTATTTGACAGAGAGAGACACAGCGAGAGAGGGAACACAAGCAGGGGGAGAGGGAGAGGGAGAAGCAGGCCTCCTGGGGAGCAGGGAGCCCGAGGCGGGGCTCAATCCCAGGACCCTGGGATCATGACCTGAGCCGAAGGCAGACGCTTAACCACTGAGCCACCCAGGCGCCCCTGATAGCTTGTTTTTTAAACTCGCTCTTCTGGGTGCAAAAAGGGAGAGAAGAGCTCAGACGGAGCTTCCAGACCCCAGCCCAGGCTGTCACCTCCTGTCGTGGGAACTTCATCTTTCTCTTGCTCAGACTCCAAACACACTGCCTCCCTGTGTGTAGTCAGGAGCCCGCAGCACCTACCCTATGGCCCTTCTGTTCATCCTCCACTCGTTCTTCCCACAAATACTGACAGGGGCCCTGTGCTGTGCCGGCCCCGGGGTGGGGGGAGGTAGAGAGATGAGCAAGGATCCAGCTCGCCCAGAATTAGCCCGTGGTCTCCCTGACTGACTCCTTCTAAGCAGATCTAAGCACCTCGCAGCCAAGGGCTGAGTGCTGCGCCCCTCGTTCCTCTCTGTCCTGGCACACGTGGGGGGCACTCATTGGTAGCCCCTGGGGGGGGGCACACATCGGGGGCAGTGAGAAGAATGGAGCTGGGGGTGCTCTGCAGTGGCCTCTCTCTGGAGGTCCGCCATTTCTTAGGCCGTCTCCTCCCAGGCAGGCTCCCCCCGCCCGCCCATGTCTCCCTGTTCATCTGAACTTTCCCTGCCGGCTCGGCTGATGCTTCTCTGCTTCTCCGGGAACCCTTTGGAGAGCGTAGTCAGATTGTAGCAGGACCTGGGGCTTCCTCCCGTAATTCTGATTAACATTCTCTGCCCTTTGGTTCTTACTCCTGTCTTCCTCTTCAGCTGGAGTACTGAGTTCATACTATCCCAGCTGTTTATTGTCGTGTCACACTGCTCTTGGGCAAGTATGTGCTTTTTTGTCCCCATACAGTTCCCACAAAACTGTTCCCCGCTGAGAAGAGCCTGTCAAGCTCAGCTCCCGAGCATTGTCACCCAGCAGCTGCAGAGTAGAACCGATCACACACACCACCTTTCCGGGCACCTTTCTATTCTTGGAAGATTCAATGCTTTCTGCCGCAAATACCGACCAAAACTCTGACTGTAGCCTGGGAGGATCTGTCTGCCTGTGAATTATGGAACCTAGAACTCCCTCAGTGCTGTTTAGTGCTGTTTCTTAGACTCCTTAGGAAGTTCCCTTTGGAGGGGTTGCAGATCCCTTGAGGACCAGAGCAGCTTTGGTCTTAGGTTGATTCCCTCACGGTGTCTCCCCAGTGCTGGTGGACGCTCAGTAGGCACTGGGGGACCAACTGACTTGGGTCTATATTGCCCACCAGGTTGGCATTAAAAAGACCAACATTCCAGGGAAGGTGCTAGACCTGTTCATTTCATTTTGCTCTACAGTGACCTCCATCCTCCACTCCCCACCACCCACCCCTGCCACACTGCCCCCCGCAAATGCATTACTTCTTGGGGAGAGAGCAGGCATGGAGAGATGCTGGGGGGTGAACAGCACTCTGGGTGAATTGTTGCCAGTCAGACCACCAAGATAAATCAGATGTTTGTCCACCAGATGAACAATGGATAACGACATGAGCCAGTGAGAACACCATGCGAAGGTGGTTGGAGGTCTTGACTTCTTTTGAGTCTGCAGATCGTTAGTAGCCATTTTGATACCATGGCCATCCGGGTGTGTAATAACCCTGGCAGGTCTCCTCTCTGGTTCTTTTAAGGTCATCATTTTAGAAGACTATGCTGACCCTTATGATGCCAAAAGGACGAAAGGTCAAAGGGACGCAGAGAGAGCAGGAGAGAATGATGGCTACATGGAGCCCTATGACGCGCAGCAAATGATAACAGGTGTGTGACTGGGACGCCCGGGGGCGGAGTCTCACGCACTGGTGGGGACAGGTACTGACCCGGGTCAGTGGGGAAGAGCAATGATGTGGCCTAGTCAGACCTTGCTGACTGGAAGAAACAGAAATCAGGCCCAAGGGTAAGGTCAAAATCTCTAGTGACCTTCCTTTCTGGTTTTGTATCCTTCGGTGTTAGAATTTGCACGGTCTTTAAAGTTTTCCTAATTCTGTGCAAAACGACACTTGTGAGTTTGCAGACCTGCTTTAGAATGTGACCTTCAGGGTGGAGATTGTTTATATGCATTTCTTGGCTGCTTTGAAATCTCTTACGTCCGAAATAGGGGTTGTGAATCTCTGCCAAGGGATTTCATGTTGTTAGAAGATGCGCACGTGACATGATCCTCTGTGTTACGGTGGAAAACTGACTTCTCAACAAGCTAGCCCAACGGTACTGGAGCAAGAGAATTAGTGACTAATCCCTGGTGTGAGCCAAGCCACGCCACGCAGACCTCCTAAAACCAAAGTCAACTGATCTTGTGACCTTTCAAGTTGGAACAGTTCTAGCTTCAGCAAAGCAATCACCCTCTCATTGTTAGTATCAAACTTTTCCCTTTTATCCATAATTCTCTTAAGTTCGTGTAAATGATACTTCAAAATAACATGAACTAAGTTATTTATATTTATTTGTGAAAGTTGGAGTAAATAGTTTGTTCACCCAATTTTTTTAAATGTTCTTTAATCCATAATGAAAAAATGCATTTCTGAGCGCTGACCCATGGCACCCTTGTCTGAGTGTTTCATGCCTGGGGAAGGCCTCACTGGCCACACGTTCCAGACTGTCTCCCCTGTTTGGAAACAGACTGAAAAACTCTCAGGCGCAGGACCCGCAGGCTGGTCTCAGAGGAGGTGAGCACAGGGGACTCGGCATCCTGGAAGGGTCAGGACAGGCTTCAGAATGAAAATGAGCTATCGCAGGAAAGGGGCGCCGTGTCCTGCTTCCCTGCTTCCAGAGATAAGGCCGCGCACGGGGGAGGGTGTACCCTGGCCAGGCCATGACCCTGAAGGTCACTGGACTGTGACCTCTAATGAAATCTGTGAATGAAAGGAAGTGAAAATGAACTTAGTCAGAACTTTAAAAAAATATCAGAGGCTTGAAAGGAGTAGGGGAAGAGATTTACTTTTACATAAAATTGAGGGAAAAGATATTCTTTAAAAAAAAGATATTCTTTAAAAAAAAAGATAATTTTGACTTATCTTTCTTTTGTCCTTTGGTTTTTATTCTTCTCTTTCTCGTTAACCGGAATAAGTAATTTATCTACACTGTCCCAGCTGTTTATTTGTGGGGCCACATTGATAATAGGGAAAAAATGCCCTGCTTCTCCACCCCCCCTCAACATAATCCCCATAAGACTCTGTGTGCTCGCGGACTCCGGTCCTCTCCCCTCGGTATAAAATCAGAGAGATTCTGACTTGCTCATAGACTTTTTAAGAAACAGCAGCAAGTAGAACCAAGATCTCCCCACTCCAGATTGTGTGGACACATTTGAAACGATGGATGCAAAAGCACTTTATATAAGGCATCTTTCCACCCAGACCTACCAAGAAAAATCAGAATTGTCCAACATGAAATAAATGTAATGATAATGGTTTTAATATGGGAGCATTTATTAAGTGCCAGTCTCCGTTTACAGTTTATGTGAATACATTTGTTTAGGAATATAAGATTAATGTATTCAACTGGAGAATAACTTCAATAACTTCAAACTTATTAAACATTTAAGTTACTAACTTTTAAAAAATTGCCAGCTTATTTTGTCTTAAGAAAATCCATGAATTTTAAAGTCTCTTAAAACCTATATCAAAAAGCACCTTCTCGATCAGTGCGGAGAATACACCTCTAGTTCTCCCCGCGCGCCCACAGCTGGACAGAATAACAGGAAGTGAGTTGATCGGAAGCTGGAAATAAAAGATTTGCTGCTGGGGTTTTTTTGTTTTGTTTTTGCTTTTTTTAAACCTTCTACATTTTTTTGTTCAGTTTGTTCCTTGTATGCTTGGTGGTCATGTCCCATTTAAGAAGTGTTTATTTCTTGAGAACATTAGGGATTTTTCTTTAGTTTCGGCATTTTTCAGGAGATGGAGAGGTGCAAGCGAACACCAGCCCCTGGCTGGCCTCGCTGGTCCCCGCACGGTGAGGGGAGCCCACCTGATCCAACACTGTTCGCGATGTTCTTTTATAACATCCAGCAAATGCTTCTTAGGCGTTTATTTACCATGTAGCGGGCCCTGTGCTGGGCTCTGGGCATCCAGGAAACAAGACCCCCGTGACCCGTGTCCTCAGGGACCGACCTTACAACCCAGGAGGCAAACAGACCTAACAGCAACAAACAAGAAAACGTGTCCTTGAAAAGTGCAGCGAGTGCCGTGAAGTCAGGGTAAGAGTCACCGTCTGCGTGAGGAGCAGAGGAAGAAACAGAAAAGGCATTTACGACTCTCCCATGGCCCAATCACTGTGGGACCCAGGCTCCCTGGATCCCCCCAAAACTTTGCTCTTAACTTTGAAAGCTAAGAATTTATAAGTTTATAAATAAATTCTCCCTTAGATTTACCCAAAGGATGGTTCATAAAGAGATAGGATTATGAATACAAGGCAGTATTAGTGTAAACCTCTCTGTTCTGCTAAAGGAGCAGGAACATTTTAGCTAAACCATTAGCAGAAACAGTCTCCCTAACTTAGCATCAGGAGCTCCACAGGAAGGGTCTTCAGTGGTCCCGAGACCACGTCACTCAGTAGGAAAGCTGCTTCCAAAGCTGGCATCCTGTAAGTCGGCGCCAGGCTTACCAGCCACCTGCCTAGACCCTGCAGCCCTGTGCAGGGTGTTAGAAGTGCCTGGCCCGCAGTGAGGGCACGGAGTTTGGACCCGTTCCACGCCGTGTCTGCATGGACGGGAGAGGCATCGGGTCCTTCTGCGTCCGCTTTTACTCGCCGTATCCTGTCTCAGGTGGTTTTCAGTTTTATTTTTGCCTACAAATGATTTTGTTGGCTTGTTCAAATAGTCAAATCTAAAGGAGAACCTCAATGTTGGGGTGTCCATTTAAAAAATCCACTATGAAAAAAATATAGAAGATTTTTTGATTTATCTAATGTGTCTATACTTTCCTTGTAGAACTTAAATTTCAGGGCTCCTGAATTATATCTGCTTTTGTTCAGATATTTAGATTTATTTGATAAGAAAATATTCAAGTCATTTTATTTATTTTTCAGAGAGAGCTAAGGGAGGGGCAGAGGGAGAGAGAATCTCAAGCAGACTCCCCACTGAGCTTGGAGCCTGACACAGGGCTCGATCTCGCGACCCTGAGATCACCTGAGCCAAGATCACCACCTGAGCCAAAAATCAGGAGTCAGATGCTTAACCGACAGAGCCACCCAGGCGCCCCTATTTGTCATTTTAAATCAAAAGCGAGAGTAGGAATAAAAGATGTGAGTAGAAACAGCCTTTTTCTGATTCTGAGGGGAAAACAGCCTGCGAGTCTGCAAGTTGATCGTTTAGCAAGCGTTGTGAGATGGATGGGAAAGGTGCTCGCAGAAACACAATTCGCCTTCTGCGTGAACTCTGGGGCGTCGAGGCAGGAAGCGGCTCCCCTGACCAAACACGGCCTCGGTTTATTCACCTGTGAAAATGGGATCACGCGCTCCTCACTGCGTTACGCGGCTTCACGGAGACGCTGGGGTAACACGCCTAGTGCATGCGTGTCCCGAGCATGTCGCCCTTATTTAGACACGCCAGAGAGAATCGTGTTTTCAAAGAGAATTCCAGACGAGCGTGGAGGAACCGTGATGGCCGACCCAGCCAGCCTAGTGAAGGACGGGCTCCGTCTCGCGCGGGCTCGGGGCGGCTGGGCCTGCCGGCTGCTGTTTATCTGCCCGCCGCCGCGTTCTGTTGTCGCCGCGGTAAATGGCCTCTATCGGCAGAGCTGGGGCGTAGCTTCCTCTGGCCGTTTCCTCCTCCTCGGCCCGTTTCCTCCCGGAGCCAGGCCTGCACGTCAGGGGCTGTTCTCCCCCAGGAAGGTCGGCCCGCAGCTCCGCGGTTGTTTCTGTTTCTACGGCGCCGCAGGCTGGGGGCAGCCAGGTGCTGGGGGGAGGCTGCTCCCTCGAAGGGGCGGCGGCCCGCGCTCAAGCCCTGGTTTCCCCTAACTGAACGTTGTTTTAAAGGTGATGATGCTCTGCAGATCCCGCCGATCCCAGGGCCGTCCTGGGGAGGAGCGCTGCTGGCCCCGCGCTCCCCGGGCCTCCCCCGAGCGCCGCCGCGGGCGCACAGCCCGTCCCAAGCACCAGGAGGGCAGGCCCTCACCTCACGCGAACACACGTGTGGGAAGAATGTACATCATCCCAACACACACGTTATTTCCTTGTGGGCAGGACTCCTGTGTCTTAAGGTTGGAATCCACTCTCGGTTTCCATCAGCTGGGACGGAGTTGAGGCAAGGACTGTGGGAAAGGTGACCCCCGCCTGCGCCAGGCCGTCCAAACCGTTTTGATCAGAAACGTACAGTTTCTAAGTTCACCCTTTGAATTCCTTTGTGTTTTCTCTTTCCTTTTTCTTAGCGCTACACAAACGTTCTTGTTAAGAGATTCCAGCCCTATCTTACTGAACCAGGAGCAGAGTGTGTTTCTCGTTCCCCATAATTTTGTCTAGAATAATGTAAAGGAGGCGTAGGACTGAAAGTCGAGAGGCGTGGACAGACAGGCAGCCTCCTGCCCCAGCACCCTGCGGGGCCTCACACAGCCCCAGGCACCGTCCTGGCCTGGGGGCAGGAGCTCCCACACCTTGATGCGGAGGGGTGGGGGTTGGACCCAGGGAGAACCCCTCTCCTTGCCCTGGAGCTAGCAAAGACAGGATGGCTGTGGAGGGCTGGAGGAGCTCAGACGGGGGCCCCGGGGACCAGGGAGCGTGCAAGTGCTTCTCAGGCTTTGCTTCCCATGAGAACCCCGTGCCCCAGACCAGCTAAATGGAGGGGCCGGGCATCGGGTGCAGGGTTGGACCCGGCTGCAGTTAGGGCCCCATCCAGGGTAAGAACCTAATGAATTTAGTGTCCTGATTTTCCCACTTTCCCTTGAATGTTTCATCTGTTGCCCCCTCCTTGTGACAGGAGTCGGTAACTCCTCCCGAGTGCCACTGACGTTTTAAGTTCCCGGCACTGTGCTCTTCCCACCCTCCCCTGCTCACCTGGACACCCCTCCGCCCGCCCCGAGCTGAAGCTACTCCGCTCCGCCTTCGACCCTCTCCTTTTCTCTGCTGGTTGCTTTCAATTTCACAGACTATCAGCCTGCATTTATTTGTGGGTAGCTCTGTGGTGTGCACCCATGACCTTCATCTCTCTGAGCCCCACATCCGCACGGCTGGAGGGCTCCTCCCTCCCTCCCCCACCGGCTGCCCAGTCAGTCCTTAGCACGACTGTGTATCCCCCGAAGGTAAGACATGATGGTCCCTGCCCGGCAGTCTCCACCACTCCGGAAATGCAGACACATCCACACAGTCTGTGCACCGGGAGCAGGGCAGGCCCAGAGCGGCAGGCCGTGGGGCCGTGGCAGGGGGGTGGGCCGGAGAGGGGAGGAGACGCGGGCGGGGGTCCCCAGGACACAGGGCGTGACAGCAAGTGCAGAGAACGTCAGCAGTTCCATCTGGGTGGAGTCGAGAATGGGTTTTGAGGGGGGATGGGGCCGGTGGTGTGAAGAGAAGAAATTGGAGGAGGAAGGTGGTCTGGTCGTGGCCGGTGTCCCAGGCCGTGCGAGCCGCCCGCGCTGTGTAAGGAGACCATGGAGAGCTCGCGGGCTTGAGTGGTGCCCTGAGGTGCTGGTGCTTAGAAGGTTCTTGACGGGGGGAACTGAAGGCTTTCTGTTGGGCATTTAGAAGAACCACAGCACGCCCCCTGCCAAGGCCTCTGGACCGCGAGCTGGTCGTCCCCGCGCTCCCGCTCCTTCCCACTGTGGCTGCTGGTTGGGTTTTGCATCCTTAACTTCCAGTGAAACGCAAATGTAATCGATACGACCTGTTGAAGAACACACGACGTAGCGCAGGCCGACAGTGTGAACTGTGTATCCTTCCTTTCACACGTGTGCGTTTGGAGCCTGGCGTGCCCACTCCCCAGCCTCCCCACCCCATCGTCCCTCCTGGCCTGTGTCCTTTGAACTCACCTCTCGCTTCCCCCTCATGGGAACAAGCCCTCTCTGGTCCCCCCTCCGTATCTGCACTCACGCAGCTTCCTCCTCTGGAAGTGACCTTCTCTATCAGAGTGAACCCATCTTCCATTTCTCTTCCACTTGGAGTCCATCCAAGTGCAGCCCTGGAGAGTCCAGCTTCCTGCTCTTACATCCAGGCTCTGCCACGTTTGGGTGAGGACAGCTTCCTTCGGCTTCGTGCCTCAGCCTTCCCTTCTGTAAAATTAGGGAAATAATGGTACCGCCTTGTAGGGCAGCTGTGAAGACCGCGGGGTGCACATCGAGGGTGCTCACTGTTGTCGTTATGCCCGCAGGATCATTTGTGAGTGCGTCTGGCTTCCTCTCTTTGGAAGCTGCCTGGGAGTCCAGAACTCTGTCCGGCGTCCGGATCTCTCCCCTCCGTGTGGGCTGGTGCTGGGGAGACAGTGAGCCGTCCGTCGACGCCTGTGAGCGGACGGGGGTCTCAGCCTTCCCACAAGGTGTAGGAACTGCAGGCGAACCACACTCCAGGCAGAGGAGGGGCCTGAGACCGGGGAGCAGGTTGCCGGCGGCCACATGGCTTCCCACCAAGTGTGGAACGTGTCTTCGGGGGCCTGCTGCTCGCCGGGCCCGCGGGCAAACCGGCATCCACGCGGCACCCCTTGGGCTGGCCGGCAGGAGGCCGCCCCGGTTCGTTCGGCGCTTCCGTGGCACGTTTCTGTCAGGGTTCTGTCTCTGGTGTGTCTTTCAGAAATCCGACGCCGAGGCTCTAAGGATCCGCTGGTGAAGGCTCTTCAGCTGCTCGACAGCCCCTGTGAGCCGGGCGAGAACAGCACGAAGACGGAGGCTGCGGCCAAGAGACGCAGCTCCAGGGACCTCCTGGGGAAGCCCCCCCAGCTGTACGACACGCCCTACGAGCCTGGGGACGGGGCCCCCGAGCGGAGGGCGCGGCTGCCCGCGGAGGACGAGCGGCCAGCGGCCGAGTACGAGCAGCCGTGGGAGTGGAAGAAGGAGCAGATTGCTCGGGCGCTGTCGGGTGAGGACCCCGCGTGCGTGGAGCCCAGGCGGAGGCCCTGAGGTTGCACCGCTCAGAAATCCCAGTCTGGTCGCTGCCGTGCCTCCCGGCCGCTCCAGTGATCAGACTGGGGTCAGCTTTCACTAACCCGACTCAGTGCTACTCCTCAACCGTTTGAAATTCCTACCTACCCGATGGCGGTCTGGGGTCCAGTGCCTCACAGACGGAGGCATCTGGGGGTCTGTGAGGCGCTCTTCGTGGGCTGTGTCAGCAGCCCTCCCCCAGGAACCGGTTCCTTAAGTGTGTGTGTGTAGAGTGAGGGAGGGGCAGTGGGTGGGAAAGGTGTTCCTGCTTCCGCTCCTCCCAGGACACGGTTTTCCTGCCTGGCTGGCCGCAGGACCTTCTCCTTCGACTTAAAAAAGCCAGGGATGTGTTTTCCCTCCACCGGTAAAGCCAGGTTGGTGATGAGCAGCGCAGGCCACGTCAAGGGTGGGTGCAGAGGGTGAGGTACGTGAGGGCGGACATCTGAGTCCATTGTGGTTTGGCTCAGTCCTGTTTCCACAGCCCTCTGTCAGCACCTGCTCTCCGGACGCCGAGCTGCGTGTGGCTCTGGACGTCTGTTCCGTCCAGCCCAGATGCCGTAGCGTCTGCCGCTCAGTAGCTTCCGTCTCCAAGTGCATGTTGTTTTATTATTTCAGAGTAAAAACTGCTTGTTTGGTTTCATAGAATGAAAACGCACTTGCGCCTTTTATTCTAAATACACCAAAACTCGAAGTGTTTACAAGTGCACGGTAAATGTGCCCTCGAGACCCCCTCACCTTCTGAAACTATTGGACAGGAGAGCGTCTCCCTGGACAGTGGCCGTCGGGGACCCTCGAGGTGTGACCGCAGCCGGGTGTTTGCAGGCGCTTTAGCCATCGGGAAGGGGCAAGGAGGCTTTTGTGTGAAGCGCACATGGGTTGCCCGTGGGCTCTGTGTTAGACGAGCCTTCTTTCCAGTTCAGTTTGAAGGCTCTGACCGGCCTTCCCTCAAGGAGGACGCAGTGAAGCAGCACCAACGGCCGAGGAGCCGGACGCAGAAGATCCCGAAGCCGGCCGTCCCGGACCACAGCGAGGGGGAGAAGGTGGACCCGGCCCTGCCACTGGCGAAGCAGCCGTGAGTCTCGTCCTCATCCCCGCGGAACGAACAACGGCTGGGAGCCTGCTGGTGGGGGGAGGGGGGCTCGCCCATTTCACGTGATTATTTTTGTTCCCGAATTCTCATCTGGCTGGGGCTGATTAATGAAGACCTATTTTCAAAGCCCACTGCATTTGTGCAGAATAGAAAGTGCACTGCATCCCAAGAGCCTGATTTTACATTTCATTCTCCTGTAGCGACGGACCCTAGTCCTGTTCACTCCCTCTCTATGACTGATGGATTTCGTGATCCCGGATTACCCAAATCCGTATCTCGTCTCTCCTGAGCATGAAGCAGGGTCTAGGTCAGGCTACTGACCCTCCAAGAGAAGTGCATTAAAGAGAATGCGTTTTGGAGTGAGGCCCCGTCTGATCTGTGTTTTGATGTGGGTGCCCCCCCCTTTACAGTTGGTATCACGGTGCCATCACCCGAGCGGAGGCCGAGAGCCGACTGCAGCCCTGCAGAGAAGCTGGTTATCTGGTTCGAAACAGCGAGTCGGGGAACAGCAAGTACTCTATCGCACTCAAGTGAGTACCAGAGCCGTGTGGGCTTCCCCGGGTGGCGCCGGCCCTTCCAGTCATGGGCAGAGGACTGCTCAGGAAAGATCATATCTGAAGGTGGTTCTCAGGGTACAGATTGCCAGAAAATAGGGGGCATTTGCTCGGACCACAGCATGGGAAATGCTCGGATCCGAACGCAGGGTCGGTACTAGGCAGATGCCCCCAGGTCTCCCGAGATGGTGAGGGCCTCTCTCGTCCCGAGTGACGCAGCGTGTGCTGTCCGTTGCTTGCCCTAACGTAGGCCCTCCACGAGGCCCAGCAGAGAAATAATCCCTGACAAAAAGGGGAATTTCCAGCGGGACACTTGGGTGGTCCTTTTATTCCCCAGTGTTTGGGACTTTAATAAATCAGATCCCTTGATGTCCAAATGCCACCTGCAGCTTCGACAGCAGTTTCTTCTGGGGAAGGAGGACACGTTGAGCTGCTGCTCCCTGCCTGACTGTACGAGAAGGCTCGTGTGCGCGAGGCGGGCCTGGCGGGTTTTGTGTCATGGAAATTCTCGCTGCTCTGCGGGTTCAGCGGTACTGTGTTGGAGGATCATTGTCAGAGCCCTAACAGCACTTCCTTCCTGAGGAAGCTGAGCCCCTGCAGCTGAAACAATCAGACTGGAGGGAAGAGAGGCTGGGGGTGTTTGAGCAACATGGCTTGGAAAGTGGGGCCGGCCACCAGACACACAATACCAGGAATAGCTGTGCCGCGTTCCTGAAAGGGGGCTCGTGGACCAGCTCTTGAGCCTTTGGTACCAGCTGTCGTTACGCACAACCAGGACCGGTCTTTCCAGTTTGAGGGTGGGAAGGGAGGAAGGAGGAAACAGGGTTTTATTATTATTATTATTATTAATATATTCTTTGGGGAGGAAAGAAAGAGGAAACCGTACATATGTCCTTGTCCCATGACGAGGAGGGTGAGTTTAAACCTCACCCTAGTGGTCTCATACTCGGGCATAAGCCCTAGTTGGTGATTTGGGAGACAGGGGAGATTGGGCTTTGTGTGTGTGTGTGTGTGTGTGTGTCTTTTTGGTCCAGCACCTGATGACTTGTGTATTTTACGGACAAACAACCCAAGGACGACCCACCTTGAGCCGAGGGCCTCAAAGCCTCTGACAGCCCCCTGGAGAGCGGGGAGCCCCATTCGGGGCTCGATCCCAGGACCCTGGGATCATGACCTGAGCCGAAGGCAGACGCTCAACCACTGAGCCCCCCAGGGGCCCCCAGAGTGCCTTTCTGTTCGAGTTTGTAGCCATTCCAGGGGTGGGTGGGAACCTGCCTGCCGGTGACTCTGGCTGGCATTGCTCTGGGGGGCAGGGACCCCTGCTCACTCATTCACGTGTCCTCCTCAATCTCGTTTTGTTTCAGGACTAGTCAAGGATGTGTCCACATCATAGTGGCCCAGACCAAAGACAACAGGTACACGCTGAATCAGACGAGCGCGGTCTTCAGCAGCATCCCCGAGGTGGTACATTATTACTCCAACGAGAAGCTGCCCTTCAAGGGGGCAGAACACATGACCTTACTCTACCCCGTGCACAACAAGGGGCACTAAGGTCCGGCCAGCAAGAGCCCTGGCCAGGCCCCTCCTCCTGAGCAGGCGTCTGCCCCCGACCGGCACTGGGGACGGGGCCGGACCGCCCCACGGTGATCAGGAGGAAGTGGGAGTCTCCATCTACAAGGCAGAATCTTTGGCCTGACATCCATTCCGCGACACCTGGTTACGGACCTGTTGCTTTTCTACAATAAGAAATCATACTTTACCCGCTGCCTCCACTCTCCGGAGCAGGTGTTCTGTTTGGGGGTGACTCTCAGGAAAGGTAAGTCAGGAGTCCAGGAATATTAAGGCTTTCCAAAAATGCACTAGGTATGACCTGGAATACCTGGTCTCTAAACAAACCAACAGAAATGCAATTGGCTTTCATGTGAGGCAATAAAAAATGATCGTGTGGACCAGAAGAGCGTGTATCCTGGACCCCTCCTTGGGGAAGAGGACAAAGAGTGGGGAAACACGTGGATATGGATGACTTGGAGAAAGTGTCCTGGTTCAGCTCTGGAGTCCATGAAAATTCACGACTCTGACGAGAGTATTTTGTCGGTCAGCCTTCTAAGAAAGTTTGTTTTCTCAGTCTCTGTGGACTTTTTCATCATCTTTAATATAAACATGAACAGGAAGGAAGATGCCTCTGATTTAAGAATCGGCAATATAAATTAAGCATTGGCATCATTATACTTCTGAATTGTAGAATAAAATAACGATTTCATTTCTGATTTTTTAAAAATCTGAAAAATTTGCAAAGCTCAACAACTGTTTTCTTATTGGATAATTATTCAGAACTTCTGATGTCTTTGGTTTCACCTTTGAGCATTTCAGCTGTTAGGGAACGATTTTTAATTTGTGTCCCCCAATTAGATTTGCTCTGTATTTTTGGAGTAAATTTTAAATATACTCATCTCTACCCCTCGGAGCTGAGTGCCTGAACTGGGTCTCAAACCTGCAGTCTGTCTCGTGCAGAGCAGACCAGTTCTCGCTGTACAAAACTGTCTTAAAAGACTGAGGTTTCTCCAACTACTACTGCTTCAGATATTAAATTAATATTCATAGTATCGTTATCTTTATGGTTTGTTGTGAACTTCGATTGCCAATTTACTTACTGTGAAAAAAATAAATAAAACCCCATGAGAATGGCGTTCTGTGAGGAGCCCCCGGTGAGCGGCCTCTGTGGTCTGGGTTAGCTGGCGGCGCCCAGGACGGATCCAGATCCATCAATGAGAAGTTCACTGTTGTAGCTTCGGTTATAGACACAAAAAAGGTTGATTTGGTTAATTTTTAGGGAAGCCTGTCTTTCTAGTTATTAGTTACTGTTCTGCTATTATGATTTAGAGGTTAGTAAATACTTGCTTCTCTATTCAGTTAAGGCTGTAGCCAGAGGGTTGTGTGATCTTTGATTTAAAAAATGTGAGAGGAACCTTTTCTTATTGAATCTCAACGATTTTATGAATAGAGTGTCTGTTTTTTAAATACCGATAGAGCTTTTTAAATGTGCATTGGTTCATGGGTGACATCTTTAGTACAAGATTTTTACAAATTTTTAGCGTCTGTAGTTCCAGTTCCATTCAACAAATATTTATTATCTTCCATATACAAATAATTCATTTATTAAACTTATTTTTAGTTCAACATTCTAGAAGTGAAATATTTTTTACTTAAACTTATTCTACAAAATATAAGCAGTTATCCTAACCTTAATCAACGCTAAAAAGCTTTGCAAAATTTTTCTGTGCACACTGGATGATTTTTGGCCCATGCCCAGCAGCCGTGATGAACGTGTCATGAAATAGCGTCTGGAAAGCGGACCTGATGCGTTAGGTCTTTACTAAGCTTCCATCGTATGCTCAGTATCGCGCTTTCTCTGCACTGTTTTTCCATGACAGTTATGTCATGTTCTTTGTGCAGCTGAAAGTGGAGATGTGGAGTTTGTATATGGTCCAGCTCCTTCACACTATGCAGGAGGAAGGAACGTAGTAGCCTGGAAGGGGGCTGAGCCGCTCTTCCCTTCCTAAGGCGGTGAGCCGGCCGACAATGGCGGAGGCTTCACCAGCAGCAGGCGCCCTGTGCTGGGAACACGGGCCAGGCAGGTGCCTCGGAGACATCCCGAGTGGCTTCCCTGGGGGCCTCCCGGGCCAGCTCATCTGAACCCCTGTGACACCTTTCCTCTCGGAGCTCCCAGTGCTTGGGCTTTTTGCCATTCTGTCTCAATACACACATTTTCCCATAGTCTCCTTTCTTTTCAGTTCCCTCTGTCTCCCAGAATCTTTTCGGGTTCCTCCTGAAGAGGAACCGTCCTCCAGCAGATGTGTGCCCCCTCGCCTGGAGTGTGGTGCCCTCGAGCTCCCTGCATCTGTGCTCCTTCTCCTGTACCCCCCTTTTTAAAAAATGCTCTGCCCCGGCTCACTAGATGAATTTATGTAGTTGCTTCATTTCAGGCCTATAGGACATTTCTAGTTACTTTGCTACCATAGCGGTTTCTGTCAGGATGGATTTCAACCGGGGGAGTTGTATATTTAAATAAGCAGGAATAAGGGGTGGAGCAGTGTTACTCTGTGTAATAAAAGAAAATACTGCGGGGCGCCTGGGTGGCTTAGTCGGTTGCGTGAGACTCTTAATTTCGGCTCAGGTCCTGCTCTCAGGGTGGTGAGATCGAGCTCAGCGGGGAGTCCGCTGGAGTTCCTCCCTCCCTCTCCCTTTGCCCCTCCCCCATTCATGCTCGCTCTCTCTAAAATAAATTTTTTTTAAAGGAAAATACGGATATGCCTGCTTTCTATCCAGAATTACTTTCTCAAGCATTTATAAAAAGAACCTTTATTCTTTGCTCAGTCGTTATTCATTTATTGGCCTCTTCCGTCGGATGGGGAGGTGGGCAAAGTTTGGGGGACGAGTGGGGAAATAGTCCTAATTTGTTAATTGGATTATTTCACTGCTCTTACCCTGTTAATGGCCATTGTGAGTGAATGTTCATACTTGATTCAGAAGAACTGAGCATCTGAGATATTCTTCGAGCGAGGGTGGCCTTTCTGTTCCATTAAAATGTGCTTTTTCAGTCAAAGGTAATGCCTCATTTTTCCATCAGTCTGGGGGAAAACGAAGACGTCGGCGTTTCGTCTCCCCGCTCACACCCTTGTAGTAGTTGGCAAAACCACTGTGACGCTTTCTCACGGAGGTCGGCTCTCTCCTGTTCCATAATCCGTACTGTTTTGGCCTTCGGTCTCTAGAATATCACTCTTTATTCTGGTCTCCGATTCGTGTGCCCCATTAACTTGTACTTGGAGACGCTGGGCCTCACTTCACCCTCCTTGATCGCCGGCCCTGCAGGAAGGACGAGACGGTGCGTCGCTGCCACCTGGCGGGGACAGAGCGAACGGCCTGGGAACGCAGGCGCGCGGCGGGGAGGGTTCCCGGGGCGTTTCTGGTACAGCCCACGGCGGGGGGGCAGTGATGCGCGGCAGTTGCCATCTTGAGACCTGGCCTCTCCTGCGGAAGGCTGATGTGCAGGCCCCTGGGCGGCGGGTCGTGCCGTCGTGTTTTAGGGAGCATGCCGGCAGCAGATCCTTGAGATCATTTTGTCACGTTCCTAACCATTCAGTTATTTTGTTAGGGGCTTTAACGTGTTAACTAATACCTACGTCTGACTTTCGAAGCCATCTGAAGAGTGTATGGGATGCCAGAGCCCGTCTGCAGTGCTTTGGTAAATTGTATCCGAGAGGTTGTGTAAAATTTCTGGATGTCTGGCTGCAGCCAGCTACCCCACGCGCCCCCCGAAGATGCTCGCTGAGATGTAACTGCAAATAAACGCTGTTCCGAGAAAACCAGTGTGCTCGCTCCGACTCGGGTGAGCACCCCGTCCCCTTGTAGGTGCTTCCGCTCTCCTGCGGCCACTGCGCACGCAAGGCGGGATGGAACTGCTGGACCCACCAGAGCTCGTCTCACGCGGCTTCTTCCCAGTCGGACGTGGCCCTGGGAAGCTTCCCCCTCGGTTCCTTGGCATCTTCTCGAGCAGAGAGCTGTTTCCTTGGTCCTCAGCCCTTCCTCGGTAGCTGCGTGCGTCCTGCGTCCTGCGTTGAAAGTCGGCTTTCTTTCCCTTGTTATTCATACAGTCGCCCCGTCCCACCCGTGGGAGTTGATGCTCTAGTCTGTCGTGAAGCTTGAAATCTATAATTTTTTAAACTTCTACCAGGTGATTCTGATACCCAGCCACAGCTGAGCACCACCAATGGAAGCTACTATTTAGAAAAATGCAAATACATTCATTTGAGGTTCTAGAAGCTTCTAGAAGGCTGTGGTACTGAGTCAGGATCAAATTTTTAATTTCCATTAAGCATTTACATAAGTTGCCACCAGGTGGTACGAGTGCCTGCCGTGTTTGCCCGTCTCTGTAACAGAAAAGGACATTTGCGTCGAGGACTGTTCGACACCCCCAGCCCCCACCCCCCGCCCCGCCCAGCAATCAGAGCAACGGTTTTCGGAGTCCAGGTGGCGCACACGTTTGTAAGATCCCAGGGTTCAGCGGCTCTTGTGTGTCGTTTGATCCCGATCCTGTGGAAGGTCGAGGTGTGAGCAATGAGGCTAGACCCTCACCACCACCTGCGCTGCTTAAACCAATGCTCCCGGACAGTATGTCTTCAATCCTCCTTAAGCTTGTGAGCCCAGCGGCAGCCTCATTTTCGGATCAGGACACTTGGAAGAGCCTAAGACCTTGTCCTGGGTCCGTCACGGAGTGCGTGCTGGGGTGCAGACCACAGCCTCCTGCTCGTTCCCGGCAAGACAGGAGCCCTGTAGAATCCCCACGTGTGAAGAACACAAACCAGTGGGATGAGGTTGTTAAACTAGCCACTTGGTTTTAGTTAAGTGAAAGATAAAGTTTTAAAGGGACACCTGGGTGGCTCAGTCGTTAAGCGTCTGCCTTCGGCTCAGGTCATGATCCTGGCGTCCTGGGATGGAGCCCCACAACGGGCTCCCTGCTCGGTGGGAAGCCTGCTTCTCCCTCTCCCACTCCCCCTGCTTGTGTTCCCTCTCTCGCTGTCCCTCTCTGTCAAATAAATAAATAAAATCTTTAAAAAAAAAAGATAAAGTTTTAAAAAAAGCACGATAGCCGAGAATTGGAAGCAAACCAAGTGCCCACAGACAGACGGACGGAGAAAGCCAGAGTGCCGACCACACAGAAGGGAGTATCCGCCTCAAAGGAGGGAAATTCTGACACCTGTGACAGCGAGGATGAAGCTTGACAACGTTCTGTTGAGTGAAATGAGCCAGTCCCAAGAAGACAAATATTGTAAGATTCCACTTCTATGAGAAACCCAGTCAAATTCACAGAAACAGAATGGTGGGCACCGGGGCCTGGGGAGAGCAGGGAAATGGGGAGTTATTTAATGGCTCCGAGTTTTGGTTTTGCAAGCTGAAATGTTCCAGAGGTTGTGTACACAATAATGTAAATATACTTAACACCACTGAACTGTACTTAGAAATGGTTCAGTGGAGGGGCGCCTGGGTGGCTCGGTCAGTTAAGCATCTGCTTTTGGCTCAGGCTGTGATCTCGTGGTCCTGGGATCAAGCACCCACACCCCCATCAGGCTCCCTGCTCAGCGGGGAGCCTGCTTCTCCCTCCGTCTGCCTCTCCCCACCCACCTGCTCCTGTTCTCTCTCCCTCCCTCTCTCTCTCTCAAATAAATAGAGTCTTTTAAAAAAATGGTTCAGTGGGGCGCCTGGGTGGCTCAGTTGGTTAAGCGACTGCCCTCGGCTCAGGTCATGATCCTGGAGTCCCAGGATCGAGTCCCGCATCGGGCTCCCTGCTCAGCAGGGAGACTGCTTCTCCCTCTGACCCTCCCCCCTCTCATGTGCTCTCTCTCATTCTCTCTCAAATAAATATTTTTTTTAAAAAAATGGTTCAATGGAAAATTTTGTTACATGTCTTTTACCACAGGGGAAAAAACCCCAAAAACAATGCCAGTCTCAGACATCCAGAGACCAATGCGCTCTCTCCCCATACGTGAGCCCCATGGACTCAGGCCGGGGAAGTAGAATTGGGTTGAGGTAAGGCGTACCGGACAAACCCATGCCGGGTCTGAGGGCCCATCCTATCCCCGGTGTGGGAGTGTCCACCCCAGAACAGGGTGGTCTGAAGCCCTGATAATCCACATGCTATCAGCTGTCGAGGAGACGCACTCAGAAGCATGTGGATTATTACTTCCAAGATCCCCAAGGAGCATCAGAATGACCTCCCCCACGTTGTGAATCATTGGGGTATGAGCCACTGCATCTTCTTGATTCGGGCTTAAAAGGCCTTCTACGGGGTATTATTTTAATGATTCAGATTGCCCTCCGATTTATGTTCATGAACAGGATTACTAGTTCGGATTAATTGAGGGAAAGATGCATTAGTGTGTGC